GTGGGCATCCTGCATCATGTCACTAAAGGTGGTGTTTTACAATGTGATGCAAAGGTTGGAAGCAGTTGAAATCAATTCAACGACACCCTCAACTCACTGCTCCTACAATTTAAAGGTCAGCTGAGTCTTCTATGTGCATGATGCATCTATGGGACTTTACATGACGCTCGTTTCCAATTACCTCCATTATGTTTAAATAGCACTATTGAATGCAGGTGTAATTTTTTTAGCAGTGGGATATATATACGGTATTATATACGTACAGGAATGGAGCTGAAAGAATATCTTAATACAATGCTGGTAATTAAAGACTGTGTACCTGGATTGCCTTATTTCCATTGGAATCTCTAAATTAATATTTGAGTTTTAACAACTTACCAGGTTTATTCTTAATACAATTAGGAACATATATATGTACAGTGATATAGGGACAGGACAGGATGAGCTATTGCTTCTTCCTGCTCACTTTTCAAACATTGTGAAAATTGGTTTACAAATATATTGTTGTATTTTGTTATTAATGTTCTTTGTTTTTGTAATCTGCTCTACATGTTACCATATGTGTATATTTATATATACATATATTTATAGCTTTTTTTTAATATTTTTCTTCCTATTTGAAATACCAAATAAAAGGAAAAAAAGAAGAAAAAGGTATATAAAAAGGGGCTCAACTACACTGAAGTACATTTGGACTTTTCTATATGAACGCTAACCTTGCAAAAATATATGCACAGTGTAGAAAGTGTCTTTCCACAGAAAGTTTGCACTTCCCCCTTTTGCTTGTTTGTGTCAGCCTGTGCGTGAGTGCATGTGTGTGGGATGAAAACGGGGTGCGGTGGGTGTAAGAGCAGTTTCCTGTTGCTGGGAGTGGGACAAAAATCTGTTTCCTTTCACAAAGCCCACCGCATTGTCTGGAGGGTCTGTGTTTTCTTTCGTTCTTCATGAAGCAACGCAAGCGCATGTACAGATACACTCACAATGGTTTACTCTGAAAATAGAAAAAGTGGGAGCGTGCAGGGGTAACGACGTAGGTCACAATCACTTTTTACAAACACACCCGCAGCCTCGAACCTTGCTCCTATCTTTGAGCCTGTGAACTGTCCCAGGATGAAATAGCTGTGATAGAGCTGACACATGCACCAACAATAGCCTAGGTTCAGATATAATGAGTGCGCCTGTGCATGTATGAGTGTGTGTGCATAAACAGCATGTGGAGGAGCTGATGGCGTTATCTGCTGTCCATTCTGAACATTCCGTGACAGCGGCGGTAAGGGAGTATCTTACTGTGTTGGGCTGCTTCATTGGAGAGCTTAATGTTGCTGTGTGGGTGTGTAACAGCACTCACACACAGAGCATGACTCCTAAAAACGTAGTCCTGCTTCAAGTTCTGCCGAGAGAGAGGCGTGAGGGGGTGCGGATGACACAGACTTGGATTTCATCAGTGGAGAGCTCCACCATATTTCAAACAAGGTTAAAACTGTGTTCTATTCGAATGTGCATTGTGATGCTGCCAATAGCCACCCCAATGCCTTCAAAAAGCATTCATATCCCTGGAAGCTTTTCTAATTTTAACCCAGTAGAAATAAAAATTGCAACATACTTTAATTGAATTGTATGTAAAAGACTTGCTGTGCAGATTAATCATTGAGGAAAACCTCTTAGGGGCAAAAGACTGAAGACTTGAGCAAAGATCCCCCTTCCAGAACAACAACTCTATACACACAAACAAAAGATACCATACATGGTATCATTAGTGCTACAGTGTCAGGGAAACATGCAGCAGCAATGTATTTTTTTAAATATAGCTGATTGCAATAATCCAAATTTTCCTCTACTTTTTCTTTTTAGTCATCAAGGTCTTCCCACTATTAAGATCCACATCAAGGACAGGCATTCAGAGCAGTAGAAGGAGACTTATTTATAAATTTAAGCAGACATTGTAAAGGAAACAACAAAAAGTTGTATGAAAACTTTTTTCAGGTCCACAAATATGAGTTAAATATATCAAAAGATATTTAATTTGCTATAAGTCCATCAAACTGCCCAAATAAATCTTTCGAACGACACAAAAAAATGTTGACGCTTGAAATGACAATGCCTCCCTAATACTGCATCTAAACAGTAATGTAGCTCAGGTTTAGTCAAAGTACATTCGTATATATGAACAGATCTGCAAAAGTCAAGAAATAAACCAAATTGAAAAGCTTTAGCATGACTTGATCATTTTACATTTAAATCGCCTCTCTAGATAACCTGACTGAGTTTTTTGCAATGGAAATCAACCATGAATGTCAACCTCTTAATTAGTGGTGTGACGTGATAAAGTGTTTTAAATTGGGTTAATTACAGAGCCTGTAATTAATCACAATTAATCACATTTTAAAGGAAAACCATATATCGACAAAACAAACCAACATTTAAATTTAAAAACCCTTTTTAGTCTGAGTTTTCAATAAATAATCATATGAGCACAGCAACACATATATTTCTTGTATTTAATTTGGGTTATTGAGCCATTGTAGAAGGTTAAAATCATTTAGTTTTATTTAGAAACCCCTGATATTTTATGCAATTTCTTTGAAAAACTACTTCTATAGTAGTGTGAACAGTCCATGAACATTAATTATAGCACAATTCCTTCAACTAATTATGGTTAAGAAAAAAAAGTATAAATATTGCAACAAGGCATACATTATTGCCTGTAAACAGAAGATACGTTTAATTTCTAATACTGACAGAACTATTACAGTTCAGCTCTGGATAAAGCATTGCCTTTCGGAGCTTAAAAATTGCTATTTAATATGGAGCTTTTAGTGCAATTAGTGGTTAATTTACATACAGTTAAAGAAATTGTGAGTGCAGAGAGTGCAGAGAGCGTAGAGAGCGTGGGATCTATCAGACAGGGTGTGTGCAGAGACGAAGTGGAGCGCACGTGCACATTTTGTGAATTGAGCAAGGAAAAGGTGTGAAGCAGGAGCACAGGTGGCTTGTCAGAGTTGAGCGCATGGCAGAGAGAGTTTTTGAGCGAGGGGGATCTGCATGGCTTTCTCACGCTGTAGGTGTACAATAAACAAGCGAGTATGGATGCTCACCATTGGGACTTCTGTATGTATATAAGAAAATGAAATTAATTGGATTATTTTTTTAAAACATTAAAATGTTTCTAACTAATTAATCTAAACTAATACATTAATGTCCCAGCTAGGGCTGCAACAACGAATCGATAAAATCGATAAAAATCGACTTTTAAAAGCGTTGGCAACGAATTTCATCATCGATTAGTTGTGTCGCGCGATTAATGCGTCATCTGCCGCCGTCGTCATCACTGCCACTTGACTGAAACGGGGGAAGAAAAAAAATTACGGCACAGCGAGCCAGCGCCGCAGGTGCGCAGTGTTGCCAACTCAGCTACTTTGTCGCTATATTTAGCGACTTTTCAGACCCCTCCAGCGACTATTTTTCAAAAAAGCGACTAGCGACAAATCTGACGACTGTTTACGGTGTCCTTGGCGGCTTTTGGAGACTCTTACGTGAAAGCATGTATCGTTCATAATCTTGTCCTCCAGTGGCAGCTGCTGCCGTGAGGCGCCTAACCCCTCCCCACCCCGTTCTCCCGCAGGAGTCCCTCAGCGCTGCTGTCAGAGCAGCAGGATGTTTACCCTCAGCGTCCAGACTGCAAATGAAGCGCGCATGCGCCGGGGTTGACGGCGCAAATTGATCACAATAATTAAAATAGCCTTTATAAATAAATTAACTTCAAATTATGAGGGCAAGGCTTTTAAAGTTTAAATCTTCTGGCAAAGACAAAGTAAAGAAGATCCTGCAATTTATGGAAGTAAAGCAGAATAAAATCCAGCAAGATCAGTAATATGTCGATTAATTATATGCCACATTCCCATGTAAATATCTGTCTTTGGAGGATGTGTTTTTTAGCACCCCTAGTTCTCTCATTTTTATTCCAAATACAATTTATAATTTGAATCACAGGGCTATTTTTTATCTCTATGGTTCAGTATTTTCTCAAGTAGCAACTTTAACTGCTATACTTTCCTGTCTTAAAAGGCAGAACTCTTCTAGTTTAAAAAAAAAACTAATTTGTTGAAATGGGGGAACCTATTGTTTGAACCCTTTAGGGACTTTAAAAAACAAAAATGCCTGTCTTTTTTTGCGCTTCATAAAACAAAGTACCCTATATTTTGTGGATGTACAGCTACATTTCTCATGTAAGTTTGGGTAGTTTTAACACAAACATTTATTTTTCATATTGCACCAGTACAGTTATTGAGGAACCTGTACTTGTGTGCTTGTTTGTTCTGTCTAAAATGTTTATTTTGGAATAAAGAGCTTAATATAAAAAATATTTTTTGTCCGATTCATCGATTAATCGAAAAAATAATCGGCAGATTTATCGATTTTTAAAATAATCGTTAGTTGCAGCCCTAGTCCCAGCCCTACTTAATCTCAAATAAAATGGAAGTGATGGTGAAAAGTTCTATGCAGGTTCTATGTAGTACTACTCAGAAGGGCCAATAACAAATACACACTGCATTTTTCAGATTTTGATTTATTATTGAAAACAACTTTAATTTACTAAAGTCCATTTAGTTTATAGGGTATATTGGGCCAAATGGTAAAACAAAAGGAATATGAGTATTTCAGACAGCATCGTATTCATCAGTTCACTTCCTGCTTCCAACTTTTTAAAACCAGACTGGGTATCGATGAGCTCCCTGACATTTGAATGCAAACTACAACGTGTGTAGCTATGCAATCAAGTTATTTGGAATATTAAATGAAAATTACACTATGTATACATGAAGAAGACATGTGAGAAACCAACAATTTTAAACAGGTTAAAGGTATTTGTGGTATGAGGAAAGTATGAAAGAGGACAGTCTTATTTAATGAGTAGCATGCCTTCTCCAGAAGCATCACTGAGTTATAAATTTAGTAAATCCATAGAAAGTAGAAACAAAAGGACAAAGATGCATCAATACCTTAAGATGCTGAAGTTGCCGTCGATCATCATCAAGCTGCCTTCTCTTGTTTTCAATCTCTGTCTGCTTCTTCCTTTTTTCCTGTCACCCCATAGACAAATACAAAGTGTTCAGAACAGGCAACAACAGGGCCACAGAGATTGTAAAGCATAAAAAAATTGTATTAAGTAGACTAGTTTGAATTAATAATTATTATGACCCCTGCTTTAAACAGTTACACTGGTACGAGCAGGGTTGGCCAGAGGTTCAATAGGGCCCTGAGCAGAATTGAGCTAATAATTTGATGTAAATAAGTTTGTAAATGTTATTATTCTGTATATTATTTGCTGTAGATATTTTTTAAATCTTTTTGTTCTATTAAAAATCTTTACAAAAGGAAGTGACCAGATTTTACAGTTTTTGTCAACAATAAAATACTTAAAATTACATTATTTGGTGAGAACTATCTGCAAACTTAATCATTCTCCAGGCTCAGGAAAGAAGAATAATACCTGAACTACATCAGTGGCATTAAATTATGACTCCACAAGTATATTCATCAAAGTATAAAAATGTTTACATAACCATATATTTATTGCTCATTTGAATTCTTTTCTTTAACAGATTTGAATGTTATATTAAAGGTATAGGTGAGGATGTTCTTTTTCCAGGTCGATCATCAAAATAAGTGGTCCTCCTAATTGTCAGTCATTCTGGTGATTTGTTTACATAAGGCCGTCCTACCTGCTCGTCATAGCTATCTTTTTCTGCGCATGCGCACTTTCTGCCGTATATCTGTGGTGAGCTACGGTTTCAGGCAGTCATTGAAGTGCGCCTTTCTCACCGCGGCTCTTTGGAAATGGCAGAGGGTCGTAAGAGAAAAAGTGTCTACGAGAAGAAAAGAAAGGCCTAAGATGCTCTCCCACACGTTTTATAGGCATTCCCTCTCAGGAACAGGTACAGGGTTGTGCAAGTGCATTTTATTTTAAAATTGGAATTTTATTGATTTCTATATATACTTTAATAATTACTTCTCTGCATTTAACCCATCCCCTTGGGGAGCAGTGAGCTGGCATTGTGAGGCGCCCGGGGAGCAGTGTGAGATTAAGGGTCTTGCTCAGGGACCCAGAGTGGCAGTCTGTGGGAGTGGGGGATCGAACTCGCAATCTCAGGATTGAAAGCCCTATGCCCTAACCACTAGGCCGCCACTCCTCTTTTTCAATCATTTGAGAAAATCCTCCACCATGCATTTAATACAAAGTGCTATAGTCTTTTAAAACACCTAAATAATTTAGCAAACAATTGAGCAAATTATAAAGTTGGCTCATTATCATAACCTTAACAACAGATAAGAAAAAAAACAACATTCTCCAATACCCAGTGTTTAAGTTCAAGGGGTCTTGGGGGGCCTGGGGCTAAGCTCCCTTATGCCTCAGGTCAGCAATCAATGCCAGACTGCTAAGTGCTTGTGTAAAGTTTTACTGCAAATCCCCAAAAGGTTGATAGTTTTGTTTAAGGAGGCATCTGGTTTCTTTTAAGATATGAAGCCTGGCTTGCCTCATTGCATATACATGTTTATGCGATTGGTTCCTTTCCAGTTTTTCCCTGAAGGGAACCTCTAATATCATTTCATTTTGATTGAAAAAGGATTTAGTCACAGCCAGCAGCAATAAATTATGTAAATCAAGTAAATCACTGTTTAAAAACCAAAGTTCATACATCCAATTGATCCTAAGAAAAAAAAGGGGGTTATAATTAGTTTTTTGACGCTGTCCAAATTTGTACTATATCTATATATATATAACAAGTATGGATGGGCGATATTTTATCGTGTGCGATATAGCGTCCAAGAAATTCCCCACAATAACATCGTTACAGTGATAAATAAGAGAAATTATCATGATACATTTTTTAGTCCATATCGCCCATCCCTAATAACAAGTTCTGATAAAACTTGTTATATAAAGCAGGACAAGCTGGAAAGATATGGCGATTGTAAAGCCTTTGAATGTGATGAGATTAATTGCTTCTGCCAATAATCAGTGAAAAAGTTACAGCATAGTATCAAATTTTACACATTATTCTTTTAATCGAACACAAAAAAGTATTACAGGAACAACAAATACTATGCATCTGGTAACAAGAGTGAAACAAGTGAGTCTTTTGTAGTGTCAGCCAGGGAAAGGTTTTTCATTTCTAACACACATCTTATGATAAGAGGGTCAGTACAATTCTTGGCATACTTGAAATTATTGATAGGTCCTAGAATCACTGGCGAGCAAATGTGCATTTGCTCTTCAAACTTTATTTAAAAGTTTGTTTAAAAAGTATATATTATGTAGAAAAGAAACAACAGTTGCACAGCTAAGTGAGATACTAGAAGACAGAAAGAAAAAAGGAGTAAGATGTATCTACACCATTAGCTAAGGATGTCAGCTAATGGGTGCAGAGGATGGGATCTAAAAGGTAGAGTCATTAAGACATGCTATCAGACCTTGACAAGCGGCAATGATTTGTTGTCTCGACAGCAGTCAGTGTGGCCTGGTCTGATAGAGTTAGGAAACAGGCTGTGTGTTTGTGTGTGTCTGCATGTGGAAACTGCTTACAGCGATGGCCTGGAGTCTCTCCTCTTGTGACACCTCAGCCATCCTGAGAAAAGAGAGAAAAAATAAACAGACTTAGAAATGGATACTAGGAACCCCATGTGACCATCAACATTTTGACAAACAGTTTTCTTCTAGAGAAAAGTTACTTTAACAAACGTTTACTTTCCAACGCCTTCCATGTGAATGAAGTGAAATATCAGTCTATTTGGCACTAAGGCAGCGCCTCTTTCCTGTCTGAGCGAGACAGGGTAGGCAATGCTAATGTGGATTCATTGCACTGCTGGAGATTCCTGCTCTAATGGGTTCCAGACCAGAGGTCCAGGATGGAGGATGGACGGAAGCAGGTTTTAGTGTCAGAGTGGAAAGACTGTTTCTCTACTGAGATGGGACAGATATGGTTATAGTCATACTAAGTCTCTATATCATTGTTTTATTTTATCAACTACAACTCAAGTACAAATGTTATTAATTCATTCATTTAAACAGAAAAGCACCCATAATTGTTAAAACCCCTGAGGTAATGTCCCCTGTGTTAATCTATAGTCAATATGCCGTCACGGTCATCACATCGAAAGAGCTTTAAAGAATAGGAACTATTTTACTAATTACTAGTTTGTATATTTTCATATTGGTAATCTGCTGAGGTCTTAAGAAGAAACGGTTATGGTGGAAACTGGTTGGTTAGCTGAATTTGAAGGCTTTCAACTGGACTATACCTAACAAATAACTATGATTGGGCATTCATTGTTTTTTACTAAAAGAAAACGCCAACAAGTTATGTTAAAACTCAACACTTTTCTGTTAGGATGTGGAAACTGAGGCAAAAAATATTTAAAACATATTAAATAAAGTGTTATGTTTAAACAAGATGTTTTTTTAAAAAGTGAAGTCAGAATAAGCACAGACATTTAGGATATTTTAAATGAAAACTGCCTTTTATCAAGCATCTTGAGACATATTGGCCGCCTCATTAATATTGCAAGAGAGAGCAAGATTTCTAATAAATAACAGAAAGGATTAATGAGTTGGTGGAAATAAGTATTAAAGTATTAAAGTTTTACAAAAAAAGATCAGAAATCAGCAAATCAAATTTAACAACAGCATTTTTTTTCCATTCTGAGCAAAAATAATGGTTATATGGACACCCTGAATATTCAAATTTTAGCAGCCTTTCGGAAATCTGAAATGTAAACTAAAATGATTGACTGCTCTCCTCAGGAAGGATAGTCAAACTATTTTGAGTGTTCTGATTTACTGCAGTTAGACAGAAATCTAAATCTAAAACGTTTAGATGAAAAGTCAGGAATACAGCTGTTAAACTGTTATTAGAACATCATGAATTAATAATAGAGTATTAGCCACTTGAGCTAAGACAGTTAACTGGATTAGTTGTGATTGGTTGATTATTGAATAATCCTCATCTTATGCAATAACCCAGTAATTATTTACTGGATATATTGCCATATGTTTTGCATTTAAGATGAAAAAACTCTTGTCTTAATCCACAACTGCTCAAATAGCATAGTTTTGCACCACTTGCTATCCAATTAATAATCAGTAAAACACAAACTTCCACTGGTTGGTAAAATAATTGTTGGTTGCAGCCTTATTAACCACACAAATTTGTTGTTTGTTAGAGAGAAGACACAATCAGACCATTTTATTGTATAACCTTTACAGAAGCCTCAGCTCCTGTCTATCTCTTGCTGCTAAATGGGACACAGTGAGTGGAATGTATGTAAAGCATGCCTATATTTAACCTTGTAAACATGAGATTTGGTATCTGCCACGAATATCTATTGACACGTCCTCAGTTTAAAGTCAGACAAGTTCTGTTTTCTGGACATGAGAATTCGACTCTATAAGTTTTTGTGTTAGTTATTTTTTATGATTGGAGAAGCATTTTAATGAGCAGAATGGAAATTCTGTGAGCAAAATACATTGAAACCAATTCTATTTCTAAAGAAAAGGAGAATATGGAAAAATTAAATGTAATTATAAATGGATCTTAAAAACGACTGCATATATTTTAGATCAATACCTTTAACTTTCATATACCCTCATAGTTTTAATAAAGGAAAACTTAAGAGATGGTTTAGATTAAACTTGCACAACCTTAAGATTTTTTTTTCTACAGTACACATTACCTATGGATACTTTTCGGTGGGACTAACATGTAAAAATTTAATTTGTATAGTGCAGAGAACAGGATAACAAGTCTAACTTACTGAATTGGTGTCAAATTATCAATAGCTGCTACCTTAGGAGAAGCTATTGAATTCTTCCATTCTGCCTTGAGTCTCTCTTTTTTTTTTTTTTTGAAAAAAAGAAAAGAAAAAAAAAAGGCAAAACTATTTTAAGATTGTGTAAATGAATTAATGATTTCAGCCCCTTTTGGAGATGGTATTTGAGCAAAAAGCAGCTGTTTCATGGCCACGCAATGGCAGCTTTATTACCTCTCACCTAAAAAAACAAAACAAGAAACAATGGAACAACCCTGCATGACTTTAACCAACCAACTCAACATGTTTCAGTGCAAAACACGTGTTGAAGTGGTGTCACTGCTCCTGTTGAGTGGCAAAGTTCCCACTGTAACAGTGTGAATTAGCTGGCATATCTTCCTGACTAAGCACTCATGGAGCTTATTACAAAGACTGAAAACACACACTTCTGATGGCTCTTTGGCCCTGCAGTAAGCTGTAATCCACTGAACCTTTAGTACTCCTCTGGTCTCCAACATGTGGGTTACGACTCCTCACACCCCTGTGGAGCATCATATGAGTGACCTCAATAAACAGAATATTTTCCCATCAAGCCACATCAGTATCACATGGAGATGCTTTGGGGAAAAAAATGAACCACTATCATCTGATCAACCCCTCAAGCTCAGTCATAAACACACACATATTATACTTTCTGGTTTGGTTTCCTTTTTTAAAGTTTGACCTGTCAGGCTAATCAAGCAAAATCCGGTGGAATAAAAGGGCATTTGAGAAAGATGAGATCTGCATAAAGAAAAAAAGTTTAATATGATGGACCATAGGTGTAAACAAAATACAAATAAATAGAACTATTATTATATGTTAGGAATCCAGTTTGTGTGGGTTGTGTTTTTTTGTTTGTTTTCCTCTACCACCAGGTGGCGCCTGGTTCTTGTTGGCCTTCTCACACACCTGCAGGTGGTTGCCTCATTACCGGTGGACTCTTAAGCTGCTGACTGCCACTACCTCAACGTCAGAGTGTTTGCCAGTTTTGGGTACTCTAGCCAAGCTGAGTTTTGCTGAGTCAAACTGAGTTTTTGTCAACCTGAGCCTTAACCTTGTTGTTTTTGTCTTTGCCTCTCGGCAGGAAGTCATCCTGCAAACTGGATGTTTGGACCTTCTCTCCCTGGAAGGATCATCTGAGCTTCAAACTGAGCTGGGGATTATGACTGGAGATTTGGATCTACTTTTCCCCAAGGGATTGTTTGAGCTTCACACTGAGCAAGGGATTCATCTCCACAAGAAAACGTTCAAGTACCGCAGGAAATCTAAGTGGCAATCAGCTCCTCCGTTCCTCAAGGAAACACCTCAACCTGGGTAAACCCTGTCCGCCCTCCAACGAACAAGTCTATTACTGGAACAACCCACACCGACTGGATTCAAAGAGACACACCTTTTTCTGGAAACGTGAGTCCTGTTGACTTTATTCCCTTTTTCAAATCAAAGACACAAATTTCCCACTGAGCCTGAACTTACCGCAGAATCTTCCCCTTCACTTTTCATTCAGTGTTCAGAGCAGCACTGGACTCCTCTCTAACTACTCACAATAAACCTGTTAAACCTTCCCCTGGTCTCTCTGTTGGGTTTTCTGCATGTGGGTCAGATCTTTGGATAAAATCCTGACATTATAACTGTCATATAATAATCTGAACCTGTCATAATTAGAACTACGGTAAACTTCAGTCTTAATCTTCATGTTTAGTATGCCTGGGAAAAAAAACACGTTAGAGTTTTCATGTAATGCTTTATACAGCAGATGATTTTCACCCATGGAAAACAATGCCTGCCCCTGACATAATAAAAAGGCTCATTTGTAATTTTCAGAAACACAACCTCATCTAATCACCCCATTGCCTACATCTGTCCTCCATAATGCATCAGCTGCATATCAGTTCTGTTAAAACTTGCACGCACATCTTTAGTTGTACTGTGGTGCACTAATTATGCCACATTTCATGCAGCAGTTAGAACACAAAAAGTTCACACTAAATCGATCAACATGGAATCTCATTGATCTGGGATCACCAGACATGCAGCCAGTGGACGCTAACATAAACACCTCATTATTGTAATTTCCTCAATCATTAAGAATGGTTTATGACCATACTGACTTTCTTAAACACATTTTGACCTAATATGACTATGCTTATGATATAGTCAATGAATAGCTGCTATGAATGAGTGAAGCATAAAATAACACTAACAGTTTGAAGATAATATGGTCGATAACAAGTCCAACATCGATATACATTACATCGGCAATTCAGAAGTTGTTTTAAAGGTTATAGTGAATTGAAGGGCCATCATAAGGTTTCAGAGGGGTAAATGATAATCATTGAGGTCACACAAAAAACTAGGGGTCAGTGTGTTGGAGGGCGGGTTTGAGAGTGAGTCCTGGACACACACTCACCATAAACTGGATTTTGCACACCTGGCTTAAACACTGTTAGAAACCATTTTGCCTTAAAACCTGCCGTAATTATTATAAATTAACTGAGGTGTACATATATTCTTTAAAAACTTGTATATTAACATGATAGCTTCTCACTCAAACTTTAAGCTCATGTTTAACTACAGTGCAATGCACTCGATATCCATGTTTACATTCACATAATTCCTTGTTTCAGTTATAATCTGCTTGGATCGATAAAAAAATCATTTTCCAAACAGATCATTCATGTGAGCCCTAAAACACATATTCCAATCATGATGTGCATTTACTTATACCAAGATGTATTCAGAATAAAAGCACTTCTCCACATGTGGGAACAAAACAAACAAA